AAACGTGTCTGTAGGTCTTATTACTTTGGACTTGCCCCTTATTGCACAATATACCAAAACTCAATACCTTTTACTGTTATGGAATAATAACGCACTAAGCAAAAGGAAAATTTAGATTTTGTCATTCAGAAACATTATGTACAGTATTCCAGAATTAGCTAGGAGAATATTTTCTTTATATTAAAAAAATACATGTAATTTTTGCAACATTAAAGCGTTATATAAACACTGCAGTTGCTAATACATCTTGCAGAGTCATTAGAATTTTTTAGATGTCAGGAAACTAAAGAAATCCGCAATGATTTCGCTGAGATTCGAACTCTGAACCTCCGAATACTCTTTGAGTGCTTCCAGTTACACCAAGAAAGCACGCGGAGAGAAAGGAGGAAAGGCATCCTAAGAAGATGGGAGAAACATCTTATATATTTCACCATTTAAAAGGCGACTGGGAATTAGGGAACCCAGTCGCCAAATCCCAGAGGTGATGAATTATCTTCCACCATCCTTTAGTTAGGGCACCACTTGTAGAGTATTTAGAATTTTTCGGAGTCAGAAAAAAATAATTTGCAGTGCTCTCATCGGGACTCGAATTCTGGACCTATCGAATTCGTCTCGAATGTGCTTCCAGTTACAGCACGAAGACATGCGTAGAGGAGGGAGAAAATACCTTTTAATCTTTATTTTGATAGCGACTTGTGTATGTGCACTTTTTGTCAGAAAGGTTCTAAATGTTGCAAATGAGTTCGGAAAAATAATTTATTCTACTTAACTACCGATAGTCCCATAGGTCTTGTCAAAATAATCTGCTCGGCTATTTGTTACACAGTTGACACCGTTTCTGGAGGTCATGGAAATGAGAAAAAGTTTAATTGGTAAATATGAGACATTTTATATTTTCTCATGTGAAAATGTGACTGGAGGAGATGCGCCATGAAGATACTTCAGTAATCCAAATGGTTATGATAAATGAGTTGAGGTGTAACCCGTCTGAAGTTTTCTCCTTTTGCTTCCGTGACTTCCAGAAACAGTGGCAAAGGCATTGTGGGATTCCCTTTGACAAGATTAAAGACCATTTATTGATAGTTGAATTTTCTAGGTAAAATTCTGGAACTTTTGTTGTTCAGGTTGTTCTGAGAATCTTCTTTATGTGAAGTAAGTGTGTGTTTATATGGATCGTACAGAAATGATTGACACAGCGGCTGCTCGCAACGAAACTATTACACTATGCGAAGGGAAAATAAGTGAAATTAAACACAAGGGGGCGGGAGCTACTCAGAATGCATAGTTGGAGTATATAAAACCTCGCCCACTAATGCTCTAAACGTGATTTAAGGACTGCCGCCTCTGCATCTCTTAGCTCAGCGCGAGAGTGCAATAGTGCTCCAACTCAAAGAGACAATAAGTTTATGGGACAGGACTTATGTACATTCTGAATATGAGCAAATCATTTCCAAGCCACCTTGCCAGCCGGCCGAATTCAGCATCTCGATTAATTGCAGGTCACCAATGTGGTTCAAAGCCACTGCAATCTACACCGATGGTTTCAAAGGAGAATATGTCACCAATAGCGGATACTGTGTTCTACATGGGAACCAGATCTTAAAGACTTCGGAAATAAAGCTTAAGCACCACAACTCAGTTTTTCAGGCTGAACTGATTGCATTAGAAGCTGCACTTGTCTACGCACTGGAAATTAACTATTCCAGTATATATTCAGACTCAGCCTCTAGCCTCCAGGCAATCAAAGGCACATGTAGTAAAAATCCACTCGTCAGAGCCATACAAAAACTCTTACTAAGAACACCAAAATACTATAAGCCTGAGCTCCAGTGGGTACCTGCCCACACCGGAATACTGGGTAATGAAATTGCAGATGGAATAGCCAAAACAGCAGCAACTGCCAAAATAATCTGCTTGGCTATTTGTTACACAGTTGACACCGTTTCTGGAGGTCATGGAAATGAGAAAAAGTTTAATTGGTAAATATGAGACATTTTATATTTTCTCATGTGCAAATGTGACTGGAGGAGATGCGCCGTGAAGATACTTCAGTAATCCAAATGGTTATGATAAATGAGTTGAGGTGTAACCCGTCTGAAGTTTTCTCCTTTTGCTTCCGTGACTTCCAGAAACAGTGGCAAAGGCATTGTGGGATTCCCTTTGACTAGATTAAGGACCATTTATTGATATTTGAATTTTCTAGGTAAAATTCTGGAACTTTTGTTGTTCAGGTTGTTCTGAGAATCTTCTTTATGTGAAGTAAGTGTGTGTTTATATGGATCGTACAGAAATGATTGACACAGCGCGGCTGCTCGCAACGAAAACTATTACACTATGCGAAGGGAAAATAAGTGAAATTAAACACAAGGGGGCGGGAGCTACTCAGAATGCATAGTTGGAGTATATAAAACCTCGCCCACTAATGCTCTAAACGTGATTTAAGGACTGCCGCCTCTGCATCTCTTAGCTCAGCGCGAGAGTGCAATAGTGCTCCAACTCAAAGAGACAATAAGTTTATGGGACAGGACTTATGTACATACTGAATATGAGCAAATCATTTCCAAGCCACCTTGCCAGCCGGCCGAATTCAGCATCTCGATTAATTGCAGGTCACCAATGTGGTTCAAAGCCACTGCAATCTACACCGATGGTTTCAAAGGAGAATATGTCACCAATAGCGGATACTGTGTTCTACATGGGAACCAGATCTTAAAGACTTGGGAAATAAAGCTTAAGCACCACCAACTCAGTTTTTTCAGGCTGAACTGATTGCATTAGAAGCTGCACTTGTCTACGCACTGGAAATTAACTATTCCAGTATATATTCAGACTCAGCCTCTAGCCTCCAGGCAATCAAAGGCACATGTAGTAAAAATCCACTCGTCAGAGCCATACAAAAACTCTTACTAAGAACACCAAAATGCTATAAGCCTGAGCTCCAGTGGGTACCTGCCCACACCGGAATACTGGGTAATGAAATTGCAGATGGAATAGCCAAAACAGCAGCAACTGCCCCCCACGTTCGCACACTTAACGTGCCTTTCCCGGGCTCGTTCTTAAAAGCTGAGCTCGAGAGAGAATTACTCAAATGTTGGCAACATCTGTGGGAGATGGAGACTACCGCCAGAAGAGTTCACAGATTTTTTCCAAAAGTCTGCCGGCTTCTAAAAAGTGGCTCGTCTCACTTCACTCAGTTTCTAACAGGACATGGTCCCTTCATGACTTACGTGCATCGCTTCAGACGACGCAAAAATGACCATTGCTCATGCGGGATGGTAGGAGATCCGGGCCACTATCTGTTCGCTTGCAGAGAGACCGCCAAATATCATCTTAGGCAACCAGCAGCAATCAGCGTCCATGCATGGGCCGAAGCTACTTTGAAAAATCGCAATGCATTGAAACGCATATTCGATTGCACATTGCACGCAAAATCTCATACAGGTTGGAGTAGTTCTCAGCTGCCATCCTCGTAACCAGCACAGCCCTGTATGATCTTTACCTGTAATGAACTAATTTTATCTTAAGTTAGCTTATTCGGCTTTTATTATTCGCTGTATATACTTATCTCCTTGAACTGTAAACCCTGAATTATGAACCTTGAATTATGCATTTTGCCTTATTTTATCTATTGTTTTCACTGTTTTGCCTTTTTTTTATTTTATGTATTATTTCGCTTTTTAGTATTTTACTTCTTATTATTTTTAGTATTGCTATTTAGTATTTAGCCCTATTTTAGATATTACTTTTACTGTTTTATCAGTCACTTTGTTAATTGCTCATATATTGCACTGTACTTATTTATTGTTCACGTTGTGGATATCTTTTGTAACCACCTATCCATAACTCTGTAAATATGTAACTGAAATTGTTCTTCTCACCCGCAATGCACCCTTCTTCCATCACTGCACTATCGTCTTCGTCCAGCATTTGTTTCCACTGCCCCCAGCACTCGTCTTGAGCACAATATGTATATATAAGTGTGTTATGCTGATCAAGTTATTTCCGTCAGCGGGGCTACCTGGCCGATATGCTAACTACTCAGTGGACCGGCTGCCTCGCTGTCGGTGGAAAGAAAGAAAGATGGAGCTGACCGCAAGCAAACGGTATAAGTCAACGGCCGTCCCTTTCGCGGTCATCATTGAGAGCGTGGACAGCAATGATGGAAGATGATTATCACGGTCAGCGTTATACAGCATGGTTCCTATGGAAGGAAGGGGATGCAGGTTAGTGAGATCCATCGTCGCATGGTGTGGGTGTGCGGGAACAAAGCACCCTCAAAGCGTATCCGTGTCCTGTTGGTTGGCCAAGTTCAGCAATAGAGTGCAGACCGCAACCAAAGGTGTCAGCGCGGAACGACCAGCAACATCGCATACAGCAACAAATGTGGCAGCCGTGTCGGATTTGATTATGGCGAACAGGCGCATAACGTTCAACAAGATGCAGGAAGAGACAGGGCTTGCGCAGGGAACATTTCAGGCCATTGTGCATGATGATTTGGAGATGACAAATATGTGTGCAAAGTGGGTGGACCTCGGACCTCAAACCAAGACCTCGGGCTAAGCCTTGCTTAACAACATCAAGGACGCAGTCAGGGGCAAACATGTTTAATTTTCTGCCGAATAACATGCAATTGTCCATAGGTGGACCAACACACCCACAGACTGGTTTACCAAAGCCCTTTGGGAAGCCAGATGGCAGAAGTGTACTGACATGGACGGAGATTATTTCTATTTGATATACTATGAGTTTTTTGTCAATAGACTGTATTCCGCTCTGTGGCAGCATTTGTGTCATTCATTTCTGTGCGACCTAAATATTGAATCTTTTTTTCTTAAGGTACCAAGCATATTTAGAGGTAATAGCAAAATGTTTAGTTAAAAAAATAGCCCACTAACAAGGTAAAATATTTTTAATTATTTATATTTCATGCATTAGTTTATGCAGATTTATATTAATGTTTGTAAACGTTAATTTTTATACTAATGACAATGTAATTTCAGCCAGAGAAGGTTGAGATGGCTATTGTGAAAGATATGTACGTAAGGAAACTGCCCAAGAATGTTCTAAATGAGCTTGTCGACTACACAATTTTATTACAGGAAGCTGTTGATCATATGCCATATAATCTTGACAAGGAAGCAGCGCAGAAATTCATCCAGAATTATTTAATTAGTCGACTACCGAAAGACTATGTAAATATACTTTTTATGTGTTTAATTATTGTTTTTAGTTTATAGAAATACTCTAAATTCAAAGATATAAAAGCATTTATAGCTTGAGACTAATCTAATCATTCAAATTTCTAGTAACTGTATTACAAATTTAACTGTGCACATTTTAATTTAAACACATTTATGGCTGTTCAGAAAAATTCGAAGCGTAAAATTTTCTGTTGCAGAAAGTTTAGTATTTAGCGGTATAAATATTTTTTTTATTGTATTTTTATCTTATTTATTCATTCATTAATATTTATTTTTTAACTAACAAGCGGTTTCATTTTATGCGTTACATAACCATTAAAATAATGTGCACCACTAAAATTAATGAGCACGTTGTTACATTATAACAGTGTAAATAATACAGTGCTATTACATAAAGTTATTAATCACTAATATCGCATAAAATGAGCAAATATCACATCGGTTCGATAGCTTTCTGGTTCTGTCAACAGCTCTATTACATCTCTTACTCTCAAAGTTCATTTTACTCATTATTTCAGATCACAAATTATTTTTGCTAATTTTCCACTTTGTTCTTAAAAAAATGTTATTACTTTGGATTTATTTTATGCTTTTAGTATTGATTAGGAGAGAACAACTTTATTCGATTAAGGGTAAGGTCTTGCATTTAGATACACTGGTCTGCACACCGTTCTCCTGAGGACCAAAAAACAAGCAAATGAATTATTTAATCTATTTTTACAATATTTTAGAAATAAACGAACTCTCGTGTCAAATTAATGAATATAAGAAACACTGAGAGATAGGTAAGCACAATTAGCATATAAACGTTAGGAAGGTTGGAAAGAAATATATGCAATAAAATCATGAATTCCTTTGTGGTGTTGCGTGGCCCCAACTTGCCCGCAACAGGAGTAGTGACTGCTATGAACTGGAAATTACACAAACTCTTAAGAAGGGTTTAACTACCTTTTTATTCTACTTTAGAAGTTACAGATGCGTTCACTTGACGCTCACAAACTACGCCGACCCGGCGGTTAAATAAAAATAGAAAAGTACAACTAAAAATAAATAACAGGATGAATAAATAACAAGTCACTACGTACGTGGCTCTATAATTGCAACTATCTTAACCGCGTTCTAAGATACAGCTGAGATTTCAGCAAACTTTCTGAATAAGAAGTTGAAAGATTCAACTAACTGCCGAAGTAGGCACACAGGCCGAAACGCGCTGTTCTAAAATTTCTACCTAGCAACCTTCACGCTCGTGAATCAAGAAAGCACACCTACAAACTCGTTTCCCTTCTATTTAACTCAAATTACTTCTGCTAAAAATTTGAATACTCTGCGCGTTCTACTAAAATTTACATACTCTGGCATTGGCAATTCCAGGGAAAAGTAAAGGCTTGACAGGAAAGATAGCTTAAAATAAATGTTAGTTAAAATAAATATAAACCCTACATTTGCCGCTGCCAGAATTCGGTAAACTTGGAAGGAAGTCCTAGAAACAACCTGTTGAAAAAGTTTCCACATTCTGAACTAAAATTCAAGAGCCCCGTTTACATAAAACAAACTGTTTTCTCAAAAATTAGAATAAATTTCTGTAGATACATAATTTTACTATCTCTTCTTACAGGAACCTTTCCTGGTCTTCAGCAATAAATTTTTTCTCTTCCTTCCAGGTCTTCTGGAAGGAATAAGTATCAGTATTTCTAAATACATTATGATTTACACTTTCTTAACACTGGAATAAAGTTTTCGTTTTTATCGTTTTATTTTCCTCAATTAACTGCTTAATTCACATTCATTCAAGTATTCAAACATGAATTTAACTTTACCCTGGTTCTCCACCATGTGTGGTGTCAAACGGGAATATTCGTGTTTTAGTATTACAACACTTCCTTTAACCACAAGGATTTGTTAGAATTCCAATAACCAAATAGACACACCTTAATCGACATACTGAAACTCGATGAGCTATGTTTAACATTCTTAAAATTCAAGTGTAGGCGGAGAACCCTACAAAACACATTCATTCCAATTCCCCCCCCCATTCATCTGTAGACATGCAGGCTTTCGCTCTAAAGCATGATTTTATCTACAGTTTAATACTTAATTTGAATTCATTTCTTTCGAATATTTACTTTTAGCATCTAAAATTTTATGCTTCTAGACTAAATTCTACTTTTACATAACTTTCAAGTATTTACGTGTATTTACAAGATTCTAATACATATGATTTTTACACTTTAAAATTAATAAGTTAAAATAAAGTTTTACTTCACGCATTCTTCGCCAAACTGTTACTAAGCAAAACAAAGTTATTTTACTTTCGGCCAAATTTTGGCTTTAACATAACAGAATTAGTCTTTCGACCAACAGGAACTGCTTGCTCTTAGATTTTATACTTAAAGAAAATAATACTTTTGCCTTAGCTAAATAAAGTAAAACAAAACTAAGTCTCAACCGAGACAAATTGACTTCCGTCAAAACATAGAACTTCGTATTTACGCATAACATTTCGGAACAAAAGAAAAAAAATTTATAGAAGATTTTAACTTATCTTTGAGTTTTCGATGATTGGAACTCCGACATCCTCTTCTGGCAGAACTGATCCCAAGTTATGGAATTCATAGAAGTCAATCTTCGCCTTTGGGTTCTTCGAGTTTCGTCCATGGTGACTTTTCTTTTTCGCCCTCTGTACGCCGGCCTCTTGGAGTGGTAGTCTTCGGGTTCCTGTCTTTTCCGTTTTGCCCCTGGACGGCTGGTCTTGGCGGCCTCCGGTCTGGAATCGTTGCTTGAATTTCTTCTGTTGGTGGCAATCTTTTCGTTCCTCCTTCTGTCTTTTTGTTCTCGTGAACGGCGGCCTTGTTTGCTCCTGACTATCTGGCCTTGGAAGTGGTTTCCTCGACGCAGAATTTCTATTGCGGAAAGTTGTATCTGGTCTTTTGCTATTTACCAAAGATTCTTTACGCGGCGGCGTTGCTTTCTTGTATTTCTTAAATGCTGGAGTCTGAACATTTTCCTTTCTTCTTTTTGGGACCGTAGCATGACATGTAGAAGGGCTAGGTTCCTCTTCTGTTCTCTGCTAGTTGGGTGGTGGAGCGGGTGGCGTTACTTCTGGGCCTTCCACTTCTTTTACGCTTGAGTCCTGCAAGAAACTTTTAAGGATTTCAAAATCATTTTGATTATAATATTTTTTCACCTGGTAGGGACTTGCTTTACAGATTTCCCCTCTCTCGTTCTTAAGGTACAATACGACTCCCTTGATTTCCTGAATTACATAGGGGCCTTCAAATTTTGGAGCCAACTTTGCAGTAAAATTGTCTGGGGCACTTGATAAAGAAAATTTCCGCTTTAATACTTTATCCCCAACTTTAAAATCTGCTTCACGGCGTTTTCGATCATAGTACAAGTTTTTCTGTCTATTTCTTGCCGTATCCGAGCTTTTAACCGCCTGATCAATGAAGTTTTTGCTACATCTTTTGTTTGAATTCTTGCTCTCTTTGTTGCACAAAGAATAATTTATCTAGTGGCGTAATTAACTTCCGTCCTAAAAATAATTCTGCTGGAGTTTTTCCAGTAGTATCATGATTTGCTGTTCTTAAAGCATAAGCTAACTTCATTTATGTAGCCATCCCAGCGCTTGTGATGTGTGCTAACATAACTTCGAATTATTTTTACAATATTTTTATTAACTCTTTCTGCTATGTTTGCCTGTGGTCTATACGGAACCATTTTGATATGGCGTATGCCAAGTCCAGTGCAAATGTTTTCAAATATTTGGCTAACGAATTGTTTACCGTTATCGCTAATGACTTTTATCGGTGCACCGTATTTTAAAATGTATCTGTGTAAGAATGCATCTGCGACTGTTTTGGCTGACGCGCGTTTAAGTGGAACAATTTCTGTCCATTTTGAAAAATGATCTACAATTACTAAAAGAAAACGATTTTTATTTAACTCACTCTGGGGGAAAGGACCAAGAGATCTATGCCTAAAATTTCATTCGGAAATGTAGCGCGAATGCTATTTAAGTACCCGGCCGGGCTGTAATTAATATCATTTATTAACTGACATTGATTGCAGGACCTGACATACGCAGTTACTATTTTGTATAATTGCGGGAAATATACCGCCTCGCGTACCCTTTTTAAAGTCTTTCTGACCCCTAAATGACCCGCTGTTTTCGCGTCGTGTAATTCCTTCAAAATGCTTAATCGAAAGCGAGGCTGGGATGACTGGTCTTATATTCGAAATTTTCGTTTGTTGCTTTTCGTATAAAAAATAAATTATCTATTATTTCATAGTTTTCTGCTCTACTTCTTATCGCATCGATATCTGTGTGTTCAAAGCTTTCGGGGTCTTTCAAATACGCATAGATACTTCCAAATTCAGGATCAGCTTTCAATTCAGTAATAATTGTTTCTCTAGAATCTAAAATTTTTGAAGTCAACACAGCGCATTTGAGTTCATTGCCTTCATCGTCCAGTTTTATACGAGATAGTGCGTCAGCAACATTGTTTTCCTTACCCGGTTTATATTTAATTATATTTTACACATTCTTGAAGTTTTAAAGCCCATCTTATTAACCTGGGCGTTATTTTTTTCCCCGAGTAAAGTCTACCAACAGCCGCATGATCCGAAGGGACTGTTACTGGCGCTTTGCGGAAATAAACGCGAAATTTGTGTACAGCCATTAATACGGCTAATGTTTCTCTCTCTCTGTAGCTGTATAATTCCTTTGTGTAGAGTTTAAAGTTTTACTAAATATGCCAAAGGATGGCCATTTTGCATGAGAACCGCACCTACGGCATAGTCCGACGCATCTGCTGCAATTTCCAGGTTTTCGTCCCCCTCGGGGAATTTCAAAACAGGGGCATTGATGAGCGCTTCTTTTAATCTTTCAAATGTGGTATTTTCTTCCGCTGTACACGTGAATTTACTTTTCTTTCTTTTAATTACTAACAACGGTTTAACAATGTTCGCAATCTTTTATGAACGATCGATAA